GTGCTTCAAAATACCTTCTAGGTGAATTATTTGCATGTCCTCCAAATATAGAGCAAAGAAGTCAAATACATTCATTTTTACTGATGGTACCTTCAGTCACTGACCTGAAGTAATTAAAATATTCTTGTTTTTCGAAGTAACAATCCAGAAAGAATGAAGTACACCAAACTAAATGATATAAAGAAGGCTGGAACTCTGCACTGAACAAAATGTTTTTCCTCTATAAAGCACCTAAAAGCTGGGTGTGGTGGTACATGTCTGTAATCCCAGCACTCAGGACACTGAGGCAGGAAGATTGCTACAAGTTTGAGGTATAAGCTACATAATAAGTTCAAGGCCATCCTGAATTACATAGAGAAACCTTGTCTCAAAACAAACCACTCTTCACCCAAAAATACTCTAAACCTAAAATAAACAAACCCCCAAAAGACAAAATCAAAAAACAGAAGCACTTATAGATTTTATCATCAGAAAAACAATAAAATTATTCACATTATAAAATGCAAAAACCCAAAGCTATTGATTTCCAGATTAAGAATTCTTTCCCTCACCCCCACCGAACACATCCAGCCTGTCTCTCCCTTGCCTTGTCTTCCTTCCGACAGATCAGCTTAATGCACTGCGTAATGCAGATTCATAGCGGGCACGGGAAACAGATGTCTGCACCGTTTGGGGGAGGTACACAATGTCCACTGCTGCCCTGGAAAATGCACCTGACTCTGCTTCATGGGCATAGGAAGCCTCAGACAGGGCCCTGGATGACTCCTGTCACTAGTGGTGAAGGTTCAGATTCCTTATTTACTGGGTGTTGGCTCGGGGAGGGTATCTGCTAGGTACTTTAAAGCCCTGAACTTTCACAGGATCTCTTTAAACAAGAGACTAAAATCTCAATTCAACAAAGCCCAGGTCAGTACTGGATAAATGGGAAATTCCAGGGGCTTGGCAGGCAAACAAGGAAGTGGTCTGATTAATCACCACAGGGTTCTGAGCTCACCAGGTATGTCAGAGAACCAACTGAATAGAGCATGCTTTTTGGTTGGAATGGGGGAGGGAAGATATAGGGAGACAGGGAAAGAGAGGAAGTGAGCAGGAAAAAGAATTTAACTTTTAGTTTCCTGGTCTATTGGAGATTGTCAAACACTGTGTTCCAGAATAACCCGAGGGGCTGCGGAAGTGTCACATTTATCCAGGGGCTCGTTTTAGTCTTACAGGTACAACAGTCATATTGGATGTAGTCCCTACCCTACAGGCTTCATTTTAACTTAATCACCTCTTTGCAGAACTTCCAGATATGGTTATTTTGAGCTACCAGGGGTTGGAATTTCAACCTGTAAGTTTTGGGCAACACAGTTTTAGCCCACAATACTTACTGACTAATCCCAACAAAGTTATGAGATTCACCCAGGTCTCCACTTCTTCAACTACAAATCAGCGCTACTGAGAACTGAATGAGAGGATTCATGTGAAAGGCTCAGCATGGCTTCTCCTCACCAACATCAAAATAAATGAAGAAAACACAAACCGAGAAGACGGCGCCTTTTTCATCTCTCAAGTAGGTTTTACGGTACAGAATACCACCCTCCTGTACACCGTAACGTATAATTTCAGGGAATTTTACCTAATTTAGGACTGTCCCATCACTCCTTTGCGGGGAGTGTGCTGGGGGTCAAACCCTGAGGTCCTGCATGCTGAGCCCACGCCTTATCCCCAAGCTACATAGTTCCAGCCTTCGTGTCGCTAACCGCTTGCTTAGTTTTGTTCTAATTTGACGACATACAATATAAAGGAGTAAGCGAAGTAGTGCAAATTAACAAGGCTATTAACAAAAATTTATTTAGGAAGATATACTACTTTCCTGGGATTATTTATGAGTTCCACTCACACTTTCTCCTAACTTGCAAGGACAAGATACAGTCACACAATAATGATGTCTGCTTTCACTATGACGAAAGAAAGCCCATCCAACTTTTTGTTTTAAAATTAGGATTACATGTTACATTCACTCAGCAGTCTCTCTCTATATGACATGCGTTTAATCTTGAGTGTAAAAAAGTTGTTCTATTTAGTTCCTGACACAATCATTTTAGAGTTGAGGATCACGAAGCACAGCAAGATCTGTTTTGCACAAAGCTTGTCAGTAACTGCCGGAACCAGAACCCTCACTGACATCTTCCAGTCAAAAATCAAGGCGACCAATGACTTTGGCCGGGCTGTAAAACCTGGTTTCCTGATTCTTCACGGCTCGTGTAAACAGCAGATGCTCAGCACGCACGGCAGGCTGATGGGGGGCGGGGGGGGGAGATCTGGACCAAACTTTAGAATCTCTTTAATGTCCTTCCTATGAGGCAACCTTGACCACTGTGAACTCCTTCAAGGCAATGATCAGTTTCCGTTCCGCCCAAGGTCAAGCACACTGGGTGCTCATTTCAGTCCAACGAGATATTTACTGAGAACTGAAGTTCAAGTAAATGTAAAATGAAATCACAGAGCACTCTTCCTTTAGTGATGACAGTAAGTGCTTTGTGACTAGTATGGCAAAGTAAAAAGAAGCAATTATAACAATCACTCTCTAGGGCCAGGGATGTAGCTCAGCGGCACAGCGTGTGAAACCTTGAGTTCGATTCCTAGTATAAACAAAACAAAACAAAACAAAACAAAACCAATTCTCTCCCAAGGTCTAAAATAGAAAAGCCTTTAGGACTTTTCTAATTGCCAAATTCTGATTCCATTACAGTTCACATTTTATGCGTGGTTAAAGAACAATCTCAAGTGTCAATTATTGGTGCAAAAAAATTGAATTTTAAAACAACAATGACAACAACCTGGATTTGCCAATCCAGATCCATCACAGCATTCTTAAGTACGCAATATGACTCCAAGAAAGCACTGAGCCTGTGTGTGACAGGAAGTTTGTACTTTGCAGAAGGAATGGTTTAACTGGTGATTAGAGGTCAATCTGAGTGGTAATGGAGTTGCTGTCAGGGGCCCTTGGTCATAAGAAGTTATATTAAAAGAAATCACGCTAAAGTTTTCTTTCCTCAAGAATATACTACTGACTACTCACATTAGAAATTATTTTGCTGTGACGGCTGGACAGGCCGTGACCTCGCAATGGAAACTATCCGATTGCTTCTGCGTTATTCTGTTTCACAGAGAAGGGAAGGGAGCAGAACTGGCCAGCACACAGTGCTGAGCACTGTCTTCACGTTTTCCTGTGATTTCAGCTCCAGGATGGCCAGCCTGTTCCTCTCTGTAGACTTTCTAAACCCTGCTGAAAACTGGCTATTCACTTCCCTAGCTACCTGTTTCACAGTGCTGTTGTAGCAAATTCAGGGGGGCGGAAAAAGCTCAATTTCTGAAAAGAAAAGCATTCAAAATAATGAAAGATTCCTGTCTGAATAATTTTTTTTTTTTTTTTTGAGACAGAGTCTCAAAACGTATAGTGCAGGCTGGCTTAAACTTAAACTTGTGACGATCCTCCTGTCTGATGGGATTACAGGCCTGTGCCACCACCCCAGCCCTGAATAAATCTTTTTTAACTGAATCTGTGATCTGAGGTAGGCAATTTTCACCAAAAAAAGCAAAATGCCAAAATTACGTTTTTTCTGATGCCTTATCAAAAGAGAAAAAACTTCAAACACACATAAAAAGGCATATAAATTCAACTAAAATTCTATGAAGAGCCAAATCCAAATCTCAATTTCTCCCACTCAACCACTGTAATAAATATTTATTAAATATATAAAATATGCAAAGCACTAAACTAATGCTTTAAGACTAAGAATTATTCTTGCCCCATATCCTCCTGTACTGCAACTGCACTATAAGATGCACTTTTGTTTAGATTTCCTTCTCAAGTAAAAGTTCCAGATTTCCCTAGGACACAAAAACAAAATCATTTTTCTCTATTCTGACTTTCTGGCTTCATGGAAAACTTCACTCAAGCACATGCTAAGAGTCAAGCTCATCTATTAGTCTCCACTGAACAGCACGAGCCTGCTCATGAGTGACTGAACTACAGAATAACCGTAACTTCCACCATGGCCTCACTGAACCTGACTGGCACATGACCTGGAGGGAATAAGGAACCATGCATCTTTTGACTGCAGCTAAACGAGATGAGGCACACTGTCAGGGAAAGCAGGAAGAGCACGACCATGTGGTTTGGAAATCAAGAACAGTGAAATAGAAACAATCCCAGTAACTGCAAATACCTTGGGCTTCCATGAGTGCGCTGCCATATTAAATCACACATGGCTCTGCACTGGAAGGAAAAGTTAAAGCCTGTCTCACGCCTCACTTCTGCCACTGACTGAGCTTGAAGAAGAAAAGAAAGATAATCTTTTTTAAGTTATTCAATCAAAGACAAAAATTATATTCTGGACACTTAACAGAATAAGCTCATTAGTGTGGGGTACAAGAATCATTTAGCAATTAGCCCATATCCTAACCCCAGATAATTCACAACAGGAATTCCCAGATTTCCTTAAAATTATATTGATATTACTTTGATAGAACTAACTGTTCCAACACAGAAATTCTTTTGTGTATGTACTAAAGTTACAGTTAACCTGTTCTTACAAGTAGAATCACCTATCTCCTAAGATCAGCTTTCTTCACTTTCAATAACTTATTTTTTGAAAGACACAGAACTGATGTCCTTCAACAAACAGTACACGGAATACTGTAAACCAACTCTTGTGTCCAAGAATGGAGGAGTAAAACGTGTGGAAAAACCTCAAGGCACATGAGGGCATACTCACTATGATGGCTTTATCGTACATTAAAGAGATCCATAGCACATCAAAGGAAATTTTATGTTAGAGTTCTGTCCAAGATGAACAGCAAATCACTATCAAGAACTGCTGTTCTTCAAATCCCAACAGTATTAATAGGCAACCTCTTCACACAAATGGAAAATGAGAACAGCCAGCTCTGTCCCGTAGTGCAACCTCACATGCACACATTTCCCCCGCAAAACTAAAAGTAGATCAACTTACACGGCTCTCTGGCAATGAACTGAGGTACAGTGTTGGGCAGAGGAGTACTGGGATTTGGAGTCCCTACTAGTTTGTTCTTGGCCATCTTCGTGTTTGCCTTAGCAAACTCTAGTCGTAGTGTTTGCGGAATTTCAGGATCGAAGCGGATGCCCTTTGGAAATAAAGAACAAATGGAAGATGTTTTCATTTCCTTAGAGTCAAACCGGAATGGTGACAAAATAAACACTCCAGTAAACCCTGGCCTATCAGGAGAAAAGGTCAGCAAGTGTTCTCATTCTCACTATTTACTTAGAATATACAAAAACCCACAATACAGTGTGTCCAGAAAGTCAGGCACAGTTAGCTTACTCACTACAAAATTGAGTTACATGGATTTCCACCTATCCCTCTTCTTCTTGGAGAAAAACTTCCATGTTGTAAAATTGAAATGAGCAAATTCCTGCCACAATTAAAAACGCTGATGGCTATTAATGAAAATGAACAGTATGTTTATTGATAAACAAAGAAATACCCTGTGTAACATTGGAGATGACATCTGAAATCCTGAGAGGTTTTTTCTCCAGTGTTATAAATAGCATAATTCTTCAATGCTTTTAGTTTTACTACCTATAAATGGAGAAAAAGAATCCCACTTCCTCCTAACACAGAGCTTGACAAAGGTAATACAAATAACTCGCTCAGAAGCCAGGAATTGGATGTTTGCATGATTTCTAACATAATTAATATCCTTTGATCTTAGCTTAATTTATAAGCTAACATGAATGGTTCAATATTAAAGAATCCTCAGTTTATTACATTTGGCTTACTAGCTACATGGGCAGACAAAGGATTACACTGGCCAAAGAGACAATAATATTAATTACCCTTGGCCCTATTGCTGTAGTTCACCTTAAAAAATTATATCCAATATGCTAAATCACAAAAACTACAAACAAAATTTAAGTCAAGTAAAGTCTACTTTGGAACTTACCTATTCAACGATTTCTTTATTATTAAGCAGAACTAAGAACCTAGTGAAAACTATGTTCAATGCCGAGAATTCTGAGCCCCTGCAAGTGGCAGAGATGCCAGAACAGTGCATAGATGCACCCACAGTCCCATGATCGTCTGTGTCTTCAAACTGAGTATCCTAAGTACGCAAGTGTTCCACGCAGTGTTCTGGAGGTACACGTGGGGGCCTGATAGTCCCCAAACTCTCTTTTCTTCTTAATTAATTTAAAGAAGAAAACGAGCAAATTCCACGAGAAGTAGGTAAGACATTTTTATTGTGTAGACCAGATAGAGTAATTCTAAACTTCACAGGCTCAGTTACAAAGATGCAAAGAAGAGCCTGTGACTGGAACGTAGTATCTACAAGAGAAAATGAGGGATTACAGGAGAAAGGTGCTCAGAAAGGTACAACAAAAAGTCAGAGCCCTGACTCAGATGTACCGGCCTGGTAGAATTTCCTTATGACTCACTCTTGGAGAAGAAATCAACTAAAGGTACCAGAGTAAGGAGGGCAGTGTCCACTTGTGTAGAACAAAAGTGAAAAGCAGGTATCAGTTATATGAAGCATAAAATTATTTGCTTTAACTGATTTGGGTTTTTTTGTTGTTCTTTTAATTTAGGAAATCTCAGTAGCACTGTCTTGACCAAAAAAAAGTATATATGTAAGGGGAGAAACAAAGCTTCACTTGCTTTGAAGCAACATTTGCTTCCCCCAGCTTACAATGAAGAAGCATTTACCTTATCAAAGCTACTATCTCAAGAGAGTAACTATTTCCAAATATGGACTTGAACAGCTGTGGCCTTTGCTGGGAGACAAGCACAATCCTGGCTATGACGGTATGCTGTAGGCCTGAGGATGCAGGTCAGTGGCAAGGTACTTGCCTAGCACAGCTGAGCCTCTGGGCTCGGACCCCAGAACTGCCACACAGAGGTGTGCCATGGAAGGGTTTGTGCACTCAGACAACACCCATCAAATGCAGAGCAGCAACCTGGGGTGGGTTTTAGGCCATCCTCCTGACAGTTCATTCCGTCAACCTTCCAGGGCAGAAGGAACCCTCTTAAAACCTGAGCTCATGTCAACATGAGGAGCACACATCAACATGAGGAACTCACTGCAGGCCACTGGGGGTGACAAGAGCGTTTTGAGACAAGTCTGTGGTCCCCTAGAGCTCTGAGCCTTAGATAACGAGACTGAACATCTGAATTCTGTGTCTGGGCTTGCTCGCTGGTGTTCCAGAATCAACTGAGGCTCTATACAATGTACTTGTCTCTTAAACAGCATGGGTTGGTAGCTCTTATCCCAAAATATGCTGAACTGAATCTCCCAATTCCCTCCCTTTCTTCATACCCCTGTTGTTTGAGCTAAAATAACATCAACATGATGTTCCAAATCAAAGTTCCAACATCCTTATTAAAAGGGGAAAAAAAAAGCTCTGAAGTTAAAATGACCTAATTTGTTTGGCAGCTTATACAGAGGCCGGAGGCTTAGAATACAAGCCACATTCCTCCAACATCTTTAGCAGCAGCACCATATTTGGTAATCAATATCCTGCCCTGCTAAGTTTCCCTCCATAGGGATTAGCTATGCCCAAAACATTTCAAATGTTACAGCATGATAAAGAGGAGACAGAGGGGGCCAGGGACAGGGAGAACACAAAAGTGAAGAAAGAAAAAAGCAAAATACAGGAGAGAGATGAAAAAGAAAGGGAGGAGGAGACGAGAAAAAAAAATACCTTGTGTTTTTAATTAAAACCGAGTAAGATTTCTTCTTTGACTAGAATAATTTCACATTAAATGCCGTCAAGATAAGATTATTGTCATGTGAAAGGGAAAATATGTGCCTTTCAAAACCATCCTCCTGGCTTTTAATTTACCAAAACTGCTCATACCGAACAGGAAATCCTTCCCTTCTAAACATAAATGGTGTCACAGAGACCAGAAAGATCAGTCTCCCGATACCACTATGGTACTAATTTGAGGATAAACAGTTACTTAGAAGCCGCCCAATCTGAATGGCTACGGGGACAGCCAACGGTCTCCAGCAAAGCAGGTTCAGTATGACCTCCAGAGGCTTTACTGTCTACCACAGGGGCCTGGTAAAGAAAGACACTGCTGACAAATACTGCATCTCTCTCTGGCTGTGTCACGCAAGGCAGTGAGAGCCTGGGAAAGCATATGGAGGAAGTCATGGAAGAGCGGAAGTTCACCAGGTGGCGGTCAGTCCGGGAAAGGGCTCAGCACATTTCGGAGCCACAGGATACGCAGAGGGTGTGTCTCTGCAGAGGGAGAAGAGGCCTACATAAGCAAGTTGGGAAGAGATCACAAAAGACCTTTTCTGCCCCAAGTGAGGGCTCTGGAGTGTGTGCAGGGTAGCAGGGTAGTTAGTGTACGTTGGAATCAACTAAAAGACTTGCTAAACAGAGTGGCGGGCGCTCAGACTGTGTTTGTAATTCAGTATGTGTGGGGTGGACCTGAGAATTTGCATTTCTAACAAGTTCTCAGGTGTTGCTGATTCTGCCTGTGCAGAGACTGCATCCGAGAATCAAGGAGGTACAGGATAACCAACTGGTGGCAGGAAAGATGGACTCAATGAAGAAGGTGCACAGACCAGTGGGGAAGCAATAAAGCAGCCCTGAAAGGAGAAGCTGGGTGGGATCGCTGCCTTGATGATCCTTCTTTGGGAAGGGCACTCAAGGACCAATGTTCTATGTCATTCTCTGACCACAGCTCGTTATTCAGGGACAGATGCTACTCAAAATGACCAACCATGTTTTCTCTATGGGGGATTTCACTTTGAAGACAGACATACAAAAGCTGGAGGAGGGCAGAGTTCAGTCACCTAACCTGACTAGAAAAAGGTACTTGACTTTTTCTCACTGAGGTGCTGCCCTCATAGCACCGTAATACTCTATGAGTCTTATTATGTACAGTGAACGGTGCTTCAATTTTAGCACCCTAATACTCAATAAGAGTCTTATTCTATATAATAAACAATACTTCAGTTCTGTAAGATACCATCTATGCCCAGGGTCTTTCTAATGGTCCACAATTCTTTTTTTTTTTTTCTTTTGGCCTTTTTGAGACAGGATCTCGCTATGCGGTTCAGGCACACCTTGAGCTCACTTTGTAGCCAGGCTGGTCTCAAACTCCCAATGATCCTCCTGCCTCAGCCTCCCGAGTGCTAGGATTATAGGCGTGCGCCACCACGCCCATCAATGGTCCACAATTCCAGTGAGTTTGTAAGTTCTTGACAGTGAGTTTTAGGAGCAATGGAATTATTCATTTATAGAAAAATAGAAAGATGAAAGAATGATTCCAAGAGATGTGTACTTACTGCAAAAGATGTCCCTGGCTATAACTGGTTTAAAAAAGTACTACACAATGTTTACTAGTGTAGGGATGCAAGAGAGAAAAGGCTAAGAATGTGTACAAGGGTGTGTTGTGTATGTACATATGTTCACAGTTGTATATGTCTATCTGTGTACGGCCAGAAATGTTTATAACAAAATAGGGAAGGAAGGGATTCAGATGAATATTTTTTGCACGATTTTATATTGTTTGATTTTTTTTAACAAATGTGTGTAATTTGAGAAATCCTGTACAGAATTTTTTAAAAAGAGGCTAAGAGCTGGAATAAGTGGTTTCCTACAGAGGGCCACAGAGGACACAGTGCTCTGAGACACAGCACTCGGCCAGTTCATCCACACAGGAGGCAACGGTAGAGACAGCACCTAACCATTCTTTTTCTGTTTACTATGTTCTACAAAGTTTATTAAGAAATAACGTAATGTCAGTCTGACAGAATAATCTGCAGACTTACAGCTGCCAATGTACTGCAAAGAATCCCTGTGCAGCCTTAGCCCAGACTTCTCAAATGTTAGCATAATGCCACATTTGCTTTATTATTTTCCCCACTCCCGTTCCTCTGCTTCCGTAAGTCCACGTACACATACGCGCACACGCAGTTTTTTTCCTGAACTATTTTAAGTACGAACACGAAAGTCCCTTTACCCTTTATTTATTAAAGACAGGGGTGTCTCTTTGCTTTCCAGATCCAGCACCAAATCCAGAGTCACGCACAGCATTTACTTGTCAAATCTCTGTAGTCTTCTCTAATCTGGAAAAGTTTTCCAGTCCTTATCTTTCATGACCTTGACATTT